AAAAATGCCTGTAGTTTTGTGTGAGGGGTAGGTTTAGGGTAAGGGGATAGAAAATACAGTTTGTACAGTAGAAAAAACATTACGCCTATGGAGAGTCCCCATAAAACATGGAACCCCAACATGTGTGTGTGTGTGTAAGGCATCAGTAGGTTTTGTAGGCATAAGGAATGTGCATGGTCAAATTTTACCTTTCAGATCCTAATTATTCACTGGTTACTGGTTAAATACTCTAACTAAACTATCACGTACAAATAATGAAAGGAGAGGTGAGGAGACTGTTTCTAATACTCTGATGGCTCACTGCACCACTGGACAGGATTATCTGAAGGCTACTTAAAGAGACGCTCACACACTCACACACACACTAATGTACACGTATGGCCTAAAGCGCTGGGATCTTTATTACATAAGACTCCCTCAAGTCATTGCACGTGGACACACACCTGGCCGTTACCCGTGAGTGTGTGTATGGCCTGCCAGTTGTCTATGACAGCGAGAGGTCTAACTGGAGATCTTTAGGCCAGAAGTGTGACCGTTTGGATCATCACGAGAGTGTGAGAAGCATGATTGCTGAAGAGTTTGGTGTGGTTTATTTATAGGCTCTGCATCAGCAGCAGTCACAGTGCTGCAAATGAAGCCCTTCAGAGAGAGAGAGAGAGAGATGCATGTGACAACGGCGGTCCACTGAGGTCTATATTGAATCAGACGAGAGTTTTACCGTCTTCTGCACGCGGATCCGCGGAGGAAACCAGCAACAGCTCTCGCGGAAAGAGGAGATTTAACACGGTCAAAAAGAGGCTGAAGGAAAGAAAGAAGCCGCGAAATCGAGAAATAAGGATGCTCTTACAGATGTAGTTTGTGGGTGTGAAGCTGTCTGTCGCACATCAGCTGGTTTTCTGTCACTGGTTTTCAACTATTGAGCACCGGTGTTCGGTTGCAATGTCAGTGCAGGAGTTTGTATTTTTCAGGATAATTCCCACACCATAAAAAGAGATTTGGATTGTGGGAATGTGTGCAGAAACTCTCCTGCACTAATAAATGCGTATCGACTAGTGCGTTCAAGGCGTTATCTAAAATACAGTCTGAAGTCATAAGGTGAGTAACACCTATTGCTGTCAGCGGTTTGATGTGGTTTATATAACTGTTTTGCCTGCATATCTATCCTTTAACCCTTTTTAGTTCATTGTGATTTTGCTGTCTTTAAATAACTCTTATAAATTCGATCCTAAAGTTGTGTATGCTTGAACACACTGTGTGTGTGTGTGTGTGTGTGTGTGTGTGTGCGCGCGCGCGCTTGCGTTTCTGGCTTCTTTATATAAATTGCGCTCAGCTCCATCTAGGCCAGCCCACGCGCGCCTCTGGTTGCCATAGCAACTGTCGGGAGTTTATAAGGGGTAGAGGATGCGAGACAGACTCCTCTTTACACTAGGCTTTTACAACTCAGCAGCAGAGGATGAGCAAATGCTGAAAAATCAGAGCCCACTATTATTATATAATAAAAATTAAGTTCCAGTGTTGCCACCTTCAGGAACAACTGATTAGTGCAAAACAAATTCAATGCACATGTGCGACCTGCACATACAAAGTATGAGCATACTATTCTGGTGGTGCATGTATTGTACACGCATACTGCTCTGGTAAAGAAATTTGTATCACACTGTACTGCTCACGGACCCTCACATACGTGTAAAAAATTAGGCATACTTTGGGCTTTCCGCAAAAAATAAACTGAAAAAATAAATTTTGTTGTATTCTTTCCCTTACAGCCATGGCTCTAAGGCCCACCCTCATCTTCATTCTCTTACTGATTGGCTGCTGCGCTCTTGAGGACCCGCCCAAGGTTACAGCCCCGCCCCCTCCTCATGGATGTGGCGCTACAGTGGACACGCCCTACAGAGTTTTGTGCGATCTGGAGTCCGTGTGGGGCGTGGTGCTGGAGGCCATAGCGTGCGGCGGTACCATATTTGCTTTGATTCTAGCTGTGATTCTTTTAGCCAAGCTGAAAACGGTAACGGAACCGGAGAAGCGATGTGGCGTCGGTCCCCTCCTCCTCCTATTGGCCGGAACCATGGGTCTCTTCAGCCTATCGCTGGTGTTCTTGGTGGGGCGTGGCGAAGTGCTCTGCATTGTGCGCCGCGGGCTGTGGGGGGCGCTGTTTGCAATGTGTTTCTCCTGTCTGCTGGTGCAGGGAGTGCGACTGAAGAAGCTGGCTGGAGGGAGGCGGAGCCCAGCAGGCAGCTCTCTCGCCGGATTGGCGTTTACACTCACTATGGTTCAAGGCATCATTGCTGGAGAGTGGCTGCTGCTTACGGTGGTCCGTGAGGGACATGCAGCCTGCGATTACCTGCCTCTAGACTTTGTGTTGGTGTGTAGCTATGCTCTAGCGTTGTTGCTAGCGGCCAGCATGTTGTCGTTGGCTGTGGTGTTGTGCGGAGGAAGCAACAGAGAGGAGTCGAGCAGGAAGACGATGAAGTGGAGATGCAGCGCTGTCTGGCTTTTCCTCTCATGTCTGTCCTCGCTTCTCCTCTGGGTCGCCTGGCTCGGTCTCTATCTCTACGGCGATGCCACCATCACGACCGTAGCAAAGGATTGGGACGAGCCGGCATTAGCAGTTGCCTTGGTGACCGAGGGTTGGGTGCTGCTGTTATTTCACGCTATCCCAGAAATGCACCTGTGCTTGCGTCCATCCAGTCAGAGGAACGCAGACACCGGGCAGAACTACTATGACACCCCTCAGCCGCCAACGGCACAAAGTTATCATGACGACGAGCGGCCAACCAATCCCAGAGCTCCGTTCACAGAGAGTCAGGCATACACTGTAGAGGAGCACAGTGCAGGTGGTTGTCACACAAAAAGCATGAGCAACATTCTGGGAAGGGTAGTTTATGGTTCTAAAAAAGAAACCTAAAAATAACCATTAGAGCAGTGGTTTTCAATCCTGTTCCTCAGGACCCACTGCTCTGCACATTTTGCATGTCTCCCTTATCTGACACACTCATTTGCAGTGTTGGCAACTGCTTTCAATTGAAAGTAGCTAAAACTGGTAGCTAAATGTCACTAGATGACATCACAATGGCAAATTCACTGATCTATATAAAGATGAACGTAGATCAGTAAGCAAGATGAGAACTTAGATAAGGTTTGTCCAAGCAGTTGCTATATTTGTCCCTAAACTTTTGAAAAAAGTCTCAAAAGGGGCGGGGAAGTCGCTAAATCTAGCTACAAAGTAGCTAAATTGGCAACACTGCTCATAAGAGTTCATGGAGCTCTTTCCTAATGACCTGATGATCTGAATCAGGTGTGTAAACTAGGGAGGCATGCAAAATGTGAAGAGCTGTGGGTCCCCAGGAACAAGTTTGAAAACCACTGCATTAGAGAATGTTCTGTGTAGGTTTTCTTTAGGTTGTTACAAAAACCTTTCTGCAACCTTTCTCCTTCTGTTAGTTTATGGTTATAAAAACGTTTCTAGAATGTTATTATTTGATTCTTCCAAAAACAGCGCTTTGGGAACATTAGGAAAATGTTCTGTTTGCAGTGGTGAAAAAATATTTTTTATTTGATCTTTATTCTATTTAGTCAGATTAGTGTTATTATATACAGATGTTTTACATAATCACATGTATATATTGTCTTGTTTTTTGCAGTTCTGCAGACGGGAGGTTATCATAACGGATTGATACGTCCCGCTGTGCCGTTCCGGAGTCACGTTTACCAGCCCACTGAGATGGCCCTGCTCATGAACTCAGGACCGGTCAGTAACAATACTATATATATTAACTTTAATGTTTTAAAGACTCAGTTTCACACACGATTTACCTCACGCTTTATGTTCCAGATCCCAACAGCCCCTCCAAACTTCACAGGGAGGCATCTGTGGTGGGAGCGGTTACCATGGCAATAATGTCCTCTTCTGCCCCCAGAAAGGATTGATTTCAGGCGATTCACAGGGTCAAAAGGCACTTTATTAAGGTTCCATGTTAATCATTTGGAAATGCTCCTCTAATAAAAAAGCTGATTTCATTTAACGGACATTTTCAACATGGGAGCAGGCTAATTTTGCACATGTTCTCTAGTAAGTGCTTACTACAAAATAAATGACGTGCTGCATATTCGATATCACTCTGGTGATGTCTGTTTAGATTACATGAATCAGACAAATCGAGGACCTGTACGAATTTACATAAATAGAGATGTGTGAAAGAGAAAGGAGAGGGAGTGTTAAAGTCAACATGAAACGCTGGTAACAGACCCAAGTGCTTACATAATGCGACGCATTTCTGAGTGTGAGAGAATAAATGTCATTCATTCATTTATTCAATGTGAATTTATTTACAGTTTTTGGGACAGTCAGGGAAAGATAAGAGGGATCTGAAATGTCAGCTAAAAAAAAAAGAAGCATATTATTTCAAAGAAACACACAGATGAATTATTCACAATCTAACCAGAAATGTGTATTTAAGGAAGTAAAAAGGGTCAGTTATTGTCATGTTGTGACACAGATTATTTCATTAATTTCTAGCCTTGGCAACTCTTCTACCTGCATTCCACTTTAAATATATAATCAAACTCTATCACTTTGAAATGTATTGAATTGATTTGAACTGTTTTGTATTAAATTGTTCAGTTGGTATCTTCTTTTTAAACCTTTTTTAATTCGATCTTTTAGTTGGTTTTGATATCACGTTTGATGTTTTTTCCAATCTTTGCACGCTTGATAGTCAGTCCTTATGATGCAGTGGATGGGATTCATCTATAAATGTGATGCCGTGTTTGATCTTGTAAGGCAATGCTGTGTAATACACGTGTCTGGATGCTGCTGCAGTCTCACAGAATGAGACATTTCAACAGGGTCAGTGGAAACGGCTGAATTCGTTCTTTATTCTGCTCGTGATGTTCGGGTATATTGCACAGAATCGTTGTATTTTTCCCTATACTTGATGTCTATATTTGAAACAAATTCTAATAAACCTTCCTACAGTGTTTTCATTGTCACTCTTTGCATGCGCATGCGCGTAGTGGCGTTACCAAGGAAGTGACGAGCGCTTTCTTCCGGGTCGAAAGGAAAGCTTTCCCACGTGTGGCAAACGAGTAAGTAATAAAACAAACATCTAACTCGAATAATACAGTGCTTTGAAGCGAGTCGGAATATTAACCGCTCTATGCTCATATTGTTTCACTTTACCGGCATATAAGCGTGTTTAACAATACAAGTCGCTTTAACAGTGTTGTTATAATAATAATGGTTAAGATTCATATGCGTTTCACAGATTAAAAGAAGCAACCAAGCTGTCATTCCACACATACATCAAACTAATGTCATATTCATGTATTTACTTCTCGACCCAACCAGCACAGAACTGAAAACTGACGATTGCGATTCATAAAAAAATGATACTAAATCAGTTTATTTCTTTCATGAGTATAAATTTGAATGGGACTTTTAGATATATACAAGTGCATATCGATAAATTAGAATGTCGTGGAAAAGTTAATTTATTTCAGTAATTCCACACTGCTAAAAGCACCAAAAGTCGGTTAAATGACCATGGTGTTGGTGTGCTTGACTGGCCAGCAAACTCACCAGACCTGTACCCCATAGAGAATCTATGAGGTATTGTCAAGATGAAAATGAGAAACAATAGACCAAAAAATGAGCTGAAGAGCTGAAGGCCACTGTCAAAGAAACCTGGGCTTCCATACCACCTCAGCAGTGCCACAAACTGATCACCTCCATGCCACGGCGAATTGAGGCAGTAATTAAAGCAAAAGGAGCCCCTAGCAAGTATTGAGTACATGTACAGTAAATGAACATACTTTCCAGAAGGCCAACAATTCACTAAAAATGTTTTTTTTATTGGTCTTATGAAGTATTCTAATTTGTTGAGATAGTGAATTGGTGGGTTTTTGTTAAATGTGAGCCAAAATCATCACAATTAAAAGAACCAGACTTAAACTACTTCAGTCTGTGTGCATTGCATTTATTTAATACACAAGTTTCACAATTTGAGTTGAATTACTGAAATAAATGAACTTTTCTACAACATTCTAATTTATTGAGATGCACCTGTATATGAATGTCATTCCTCTGTCTGACATAATGTGTTTTCGGAGTTTGCAGATGGTGAAGGAAAACCCAATGAAAAGAACCTCTAGGATGCAAAAAGCAGGAAGAAGTTGAGGTTCTTGAGAAGTTGGTTGACTAAAAGTTGGCATGGCAGTTGACGGGGCGACTAAAGAGAAGAAGAAGAAGAAGAAGAAAGTTCAGGATGCAGGAGACACACGTGTGATGGCGTGGCATGACGTGTCCGTCCAGACTGATGTTAAAAACAAAACTTTGGATGTAAACATCAGAGATGGAGAGAAACGGGAGAGCGATGGGGCTGAGAAGAAGAGGAAGAAGAAAAAGAAAGTGAAGGAGGACGTGGAAGCAAACAGCCCCGTGTGTTACGATGCGTCCGTCCAGACTTCCGTCAAAACAGAGCGCTCCGATATAAACATCAGTGCTGCTCCTGAGAAGACAAAGAAGAAGAAGAAGAAGAAGAAGAAGATAGAGCAGGAAGCAGAAGAGATCGCCAGTGGAGATCATTTAGTGTCCAAGAAACAAGGACGTGAAGAAGAGGTGGAAGCTATAAAAAAGAAAAAGAAGAAAAAGCAAGTAGAGATCAAAAAAGAAGAGGCCGATTTAGGACACAGTGTAGAGATAGTAAAAAAGAAAAAGAAGAGAAAAATTGATGAAGATGTGGCCGAAGAAGAACAAAACAAAGAATTTGAGGGCGGAGAGGTAAAGAAGAAAAGAAAAAAGCAGAAAGAATGTAAACAGGAAGCGGTGAAGAGGAAGAAATCTTCAGCAGTTGAAGAGCCTGATGACATTAGCTCCAGTGAAAAGCTGGAGAAGAAGAGCAAGAAGCTAAAGAAGAAACTGAAAGGTGTGGATGAAGGTGAGAGTCATCCTCGCGTCAATGGAGGACAGGTGAGCTCAGCGGACAAGAAGATGAGAAAGAAAGTCAAGGCTAAGGCTGAGACTGAGGAGGAAGCGGTGGGAAAGAAGGGCAGAAAGAAAACCCCAGAAAAGGTTAGAAAGAAAAAGCCTAAAGAAGAACATCATGAGGCAGTCGTGGAGAGAGCAAGTAAAGTGGTGAGTTTATCCTCAACTGAGGCTCATGTCTGACTGTTTACAATGTGATGATAATTAAGCCTGGATATTTCATTATGTAATATATTTTTCTTAACATCATGCACTGTTATTTTAGTATTATTTATATACTTATATAGTATTTATTCATTTTTAATGAGCTTTTATTTTCATATTTTCACATTTCACATTTAATTTTAGTTAAACCGGTCATATGATGTTGCTAAAAAGAACATTATTTTGTGTATTTGGTATCTTCTTTATGCACCAAGAGCTTGTAACACTTCAAAGAGAAAGGAAAAATTGAAATCGCATCATATGACCCTTTTAAATATTTCGGAATTTCTTTGTTCTTTTTTCTATTTTATTTATTTAATATTTGTTTATCTTCAGTTTATTTTTGTTTTAGTTTTAGTAATTTTTTTTTGGTTGGTTGCCAAGGCAACTTTTCGAATCTTTTCTAAATCGAATTTTTTTTTTAGGTTTCAGTTTTTCGTGAGTAATGTGTGTATTTTGTTTTATTTTAGCTTTATTTCACGTAACTAACATGATTTTTTAAATAGTTTTAGTTAACAGTAACAACACTGCTGCGTCATAACAGGGTCAGTATCACAAAAACTGTCAAGAATGTGTGCAGGTCATGATTCATCCAAAATCAAAATAATAAAATAAGATTAGAAGTTATTTTTGTTTAACAATATTTTAAAAGCCGTTTATGACACTTAGTATTTATTTACATTATAACATGATTTTTTTTGACAATACAATTATTTTATGTATAATTTAATGTTATATATTTTGTGTATAATTTCTGTTGTTTTAAAACATTATTCTCATTACTGTAATACTGTAAGTAAAATTTTGCATTTACATAAATTAATGCAGTGTGTGTTTTTTTTTACTACCATGTTAAATATTTTATATATTTTTTCTTTCTTGCATATTACAGTAATGGAAATTCACACATTCACGAAAAACCTTATTGTCCTATAAATAAGCATCATTTTATTTATGCAAAATATAATTTGTAATATCTTGCTTCATGGCATATGATCTGGATAGTGTCTTCAGAGGTTTTGTTCGATTCGTCCGGCCATGTATGTTGCACCTCATTCCTGATTAGGAAAGTGGTCATCTGACTTGCTAGTAGTTTTATTTGACATTAAAACTTAAATTCGCTGTATCTCATTGCGTTCTCTCTCTCTGTGTGCGCTCAGTCTGATGTTGTGTTCCTGTCGGAAAAGCCTGGAAATCAGGACGAAGTTTCTATAGATCAGGTACAACACCAGCTGATCACTGATGTTTTACATACACACACACACACACACACACACACATATATATATATATATGTCATGTTGAGACTCTTTTCTTCCACAGGCCCGCCGTCTCCGCCTACAGAGGGACATTGACAAGGAATCACAGCCGAAGCCAGTCAGTTTCACATCAAAACACTTGTATTGAGTCTTACACCTTTTGAAATAAAGGTGTCAAAATAGAGGGCTTTGCAGTGATGCAAGAGAAGAACCATTTTTGGTTCCCTAAAGAACCTTTCAGTTCTTAAAAGTACCATTTTTTTCTTAGTGTAAAAAATTAAAGAACCTTTTTCTGTTATAAAGAACTTTTTGAGCAATGGAAAGATTCCGTGGATATTGAAGGTTCTTCATGGAAGCATCAGTGCCAGTAAAGGTGCTTTATTTTTGAGTGTGTGTCCTGCATGGATAGTGTAATCATTAATGGGAATGGATTTTAATCTGAATTGTGTTGATCTGTTTTAGAATCTCGGGCAGTGGGGCACGGCACAGTTCGACAGCTCTGACAGACAAGCCAAGTTCCTGCGCTTGATGGGCGGCTTTAAAAAGAGCAGCCAACCAGTCGCAGGATCCTCCGGCCGGGCCAACATGGTGCTGGGGACAGAAGGACAACAGACTTTGCAGCAAGGCCTTCTGGGAGAGTTTGAGCGTGCACAGAGCCGTCATATGGACTTCAGGAATAAAGGAGCCGGATTGGGGTTCGCAGCGCCGTCCAATAAGACGTTTGCGATCGATGCTAATGCTCGGAACTCAGTGCGGCTGGATGACTGAGAGTTCAACCAAAAGTGAACGCTTTGTCATCATTTACTCACCCTCACAATGTTTACAAACCACCGTGCTGTTAATTTCTTTTTAAGAATCACATCAGTCAAGCTCCAAAAAGGAAAAAAAACGACAGAAAAATAGCCCATACTAAATATGTTTGGAACGACTCAAAGGTGAGTGAATGATGACAAAATGTTCATTTCTAGGTGAACTGTTCCTTTAATGGATGAATCAAAATGAGTTTATGAAATGTAGTTTTGGAATCCGAGGAGCGCTGAATCACCGACCCAAAAAAAAGTATTTGACAAGTTTCCGTTGAAATTTTTTTTTTTGGTCCTGAGAGATGTACTCGGGTGAAATATCACGAGATGTATTTAAATGTATCATTAGATTTGCTAAAGAAAATTATACTAAAAGAAAAGTATAAACAACCGAAAAGGGTGAATAAAGACACTGGATTAGAGCTGTCTTTGGGTAATCATGATTGTCATTGCATTATTGAGATTTATTTTGAGTTATTTTTTTTTAGTCATTTACATTTATG